GCACGGCATATCATCATGAAAACATCATCCCAACCGTAAAGTATGGTGGAGGAAACACATGATTTGGGCCTGCTTTGCTGCATCAGGGCCTGGATCTTGCAATCCAGCTTGCAATCACTGAGGGGAAGATGAATTCCCAAGTATATCAGACAATTCTTCACGATAATGTGAGAATGTCCGTAGGGCTGCTGAAACTGTGTAGAAGTTGGGTGATGCAACAGGACAACGACCAAAACACCGGAGCAAGTCCACAACTGAATGGCTTCAGAAAAACAAAATGCTCCTTTTGGAGTGGCCAAGTCAGAGCTCAGACCTGAACCCAATAGAGATGCTATGGAATGACTTGAAGAGAGCCATACACATGAGACATCCAAAGAATATGACCGAGCTAAAGCAGTTCTGCCAGGAAGAATGGGCAAAATTCCTCCTGAACGCTGCCAAGGGGGGTGGGGGTGCGGTGGGGGCCGTTTAACCAGTTATTAATTCTAAGGGTTCACTTACTTTTTCCACTGCCATTTTGAATGTTGAATGAGTGTGTTCAATATAGAAATATAAAAAAAAAAAAAAATTGTGTTATAATTTTAGGCACATTATATTTGTCAATATCCCTGACTTAGATGAAGATCAGATCACATTTTATGACAAATTTATTCAGAAAACCATGAAATTCCAAAGGGTTCACATACTTTTTCTTGCCACTGTATGACCAACTTTGTTCAGAATCTGTGATCGATCAACCGTTAATTTACAAACGATGATTACCTTGCTAGCCTGTTAAACAATTTACACTAATCAGGCTTACGTTTATGTTACGTGAAAAACTTCATCAGATTAGATGAGCAAAACGAACGAACTAACCTTACTAGCACCAACTAGAGCTCACTAGAGGCACCAACGATTTCTGCTACTTCATTCCGAGCTTCATTTTCCTTCATAAAGTCTGTATAGAGATGTATTAAGTGTTTGAATATGACAGGATAAGATGAAACCATGGTTGTAAGTGGTTGATTTTCTTCCATTTTTGTTTACATCATACATGTAAATGGAAACTACATTCAGGCAGGAAGTATAGTTGAGTGCGGAACGGAATTAGACGAATCAATCAAGTTCAAGTCAATTGTTTGGATTTGTCACTTTAGTGCATAAAATTGGGAAAATGTCGAATCAAACATCCAAAGTTGTCAAAATGGTGGCTGAGTACACGGAGAAAAAGAAAAGCCATGTGTCGCTATATTTTCAGTACTCTTAATTTTATGTTATACTGTGTTGTCACTGTAACTATCAGCTTTGCTGTGACTTGCTCATCAGTCCCAGAGGACGTCAGCTTTATTGTTTTCCACCTCACAATGTGAGCATATTGTACCAGCTGGATGTCTGATGACTTTCAGGCCATATGTGTGGACCGCTTTGATCTCATTCTCGCCTTTCAGCGGCTCTTCGTGACCTGTCGTACTCGCCGGAGCTGCTTATATCTGATCCCGAGAGAGCTGACCTTGACAGAATGAAGTGGAAAGATTTTGGAGTGAGAAATTATTTTCTGTGATTTTCTTTTTTCTTCTACATCGATGGCCACATGAGCCGAGACACAGGGAGTAGTATCGGTTATGTAACTGTTTCAAAATTCTTAGCAGTCACACTAAACTAAATGAAACACCTGAAAAGTAAAAGTCATTCTTGGAGATTAGCTTCATTCTAAGTGAAATTCACAGAAAATTTGCAATTGTCTGACCCTACAGGCATGCTAAATATACTGCAACATGGATCTGGAATCGACTTAACAGTTTTAAAACTTAAAACTTGAGTTTATACAAAATAACCCAGAATATTAACCCTTTCTAGCAGGAACAATGGAAATCAAATTATTAGACATTTTCAATCGGTATAAACAAATTAATTATTTTATTGGTGCAAGACTGTTATATGATAAAACTGTTGGGTTTCTGTGTAAAGAGTATCATGACACTGTATACAACTGCCATAAAAAATTATTATATTTAAATCTACTACTCTAGGTAAAAAAACAAATAATAAAAAAAAAACCGCAAAATTATCCCATTAACCTCTACTATTGAGTGAGACATTAGAAATAAATTCGATGCAAAACCGGTGGTAGCATACAGACAAAATTGAGGTCTGGAGGGCGCACCGCGAGCGCGTCTCCTTCTTGTGAATCCGCAACCGCGCCTCCCTCTCACCATGCACCTGTGCCCGCGCCTCCTTCTCCTCAGAAATCTGTAGCCGGCTCCCCTTCCCCAAACGCGTGACAACCCGCGTCCCAGGTGAGTGGCGTTTGACCTCGCCGCCTCAAGCTTGAGTTGCTGGCTTTACTTAGGAAGGACATCGCTGATTTTAGGAATGAGTTCCGGGAGCACTAGAAGAATCTTCAGAAGACTCTCAGTGATGCGCTATCTACTATCCAGCTCGACCTGTAGGCCATGAAAACACAGCAGGCTAGCGATAAAGTCGCTACCGATTCCACCATATCAACACTGAAAGGTACTGTTGGGGAAATGGGGCACATATCTCCGGTTACACCGTTGATATAGTTCACATGAAGACTACTATCGAGTCTCTCACTGCGACCGTGACTCAATTAGAGAATAAATGTGAGGATTTGGAGTCGAGGTCACGGTGCAATAACGTGAGGATAGTCGGAGTTCCGGAGGGCCCTGACACCTGTACAACCGCTGCAGTAGCGGCCTTGTTAAAGGAGGCGTTTGGTCTGAAGAAGGAGCCGGTTCTGGACCGGTCCAACCGGACCCTTCAGCCGAAGCCGAAGTCTGGTGAACGACCACGAGCTATTGTGTGCAGATTCCATTACTACAGTGACTGTATTGATATTTTACGCGTGCGAGAGAGCTCCAGCAGATTAAAGTGAGGGATCTGACCATCTCCGTTTTCCCTGACTACACAGTCAAGACAGCCCGAGCCCGGGTTCGGCGTCAACTTTGTGATATTGAGGGAGCTCGCTATGGAATACTTCATCCAGCTCGGCTTCACATTACATATAACGGTGTCCAGAAGGACTTTATTTCAGCGGAGGAAGCAGCAGAATACGTTAAACTCTTAAAAACGGTGTGAACCGCATCACCTACACAGTGTAGTGTTCCTTATTTATTTGTTTATTTGTTTATTTAGTATTTATTTTATTTATTATTATTATTATTATTATTATTATTATTATTATTATTTTATTATTTATGCATTTTTTATTTTTTTTTTATTTTCTTTGATAATATTCTTTATTCTAATTTGCACTCAGCCATCCAGCTCTATAGAATTAATTAATCTATTATTATTATTATTATTATTATTATTATTATTATTATTATTTCTCAATGAAATATTTGGGGAAGGGAGGGGAGAAAAGGTAAATGAATCACATGAATATGAATCACATGAAAATTAATTACATGTAAATGAATCACATGCATGAATATGAACCACATGAAAATGTATCATATGTAAATGAATCACATGTAAATGAATCATATGAAAATGAATAAATAAATGCTTAAAAAAAAAGAAATAAAAAAAGAAATAAATTCAATGCTTGTCACCAATCGTGAGGGAGCGGAGATAGGATGCATGCAATCGCAGTTTAGAATGGTACTTTCATTTAAAAGAGAAGCAGGCAGACAAATCCAAAAATGTGATCCCAAATGTAATCCACAAAACAGGCGAAGGTCAGGCGAATAACAAACAGGCATATATAGGGCAAGGCAGAGATCAAGGTCGTGGTACGGAAAACAGGGTCGAGACATGAAGCATGAAGCATGAAACAGGAGTATACAGCGAGAGAGGGTGCAGAGAACCAGTAAACTAGACTAACAAACCTAACCATAAACAAAGACATGAAACATGAAACTAACAAAGACATGAAACATGAAACTAAGACATGAAACATGAAACTAAGTCAACTGTAATCTATGATACTTTACGTTAAGACAATATAATTAACCGCGCCGTTAATGCTTCATTAGCCCGCGCACATATGCTTCATTAGCCCGCAACTGCTATCAGCTGCGGGCAATACCATAACACGTTACACATGACCAGATTTTTACGAAGACATGACGTCAACCCAGAAGAAGCAGGCGCATGCACGGTGCTTCACGGGGGAATCATGACAGACCCCCCCAAACGGCACTCCTCCCAGAGTGCCAAGAGTCCTCCCCCTTCATTGGCGGCCCCGGGCCCCTGGACTGAATGTCCTATGTCGAGCCAGGAAAACAGCCATGCTGTTCTTGGCGGAGCAGGGAAGTGTAGCAAGGTCCCAGCTGAAAAGGGAAACAGAGCAACGACCACAGCCGGGCAGACAGGCTGAGCGACGATCCCAGCAGAGCATGAGAGAGAAATGCCGTCCTCTGCGGAGCTTGGGAGCGGTGCCAAGAGTCCTGGAACCCGGGAGAAGCAGGTGCATGCGGGGGAATCATGACAATGCTGAACATGGGCATCACCAAAACTGGAAGAAATTCCAATATTCATCCTCTGATAAAAACTGTTATGCATAAAACTGCATAAAACATGCACTCACCCCCACTGCTGTGAAAATCACCCACATTTCCATTGGAAGTCACATAATTAGGTAAATGGAGTCTAGATATGAAGCATGCTGGTGGTAGCATCATGTTGAGAGAAACCTCGAACAAGCTTCTTTGATTAATCCCGTCTTTATTGTACCTGGTCACTGACGTTTGATGGCTGGAATCATGCTTTTTTCACATTTTTTAAAATGATGGATTTAATGTCAAGCTGAGGGATGTTCATTGCTTGTTTGTTTTTATAACCAAAGCTTGATCCTCTCTCTCTTCCTGTTTACACTTATGCTACACTTTCTTCTATCAGTATGTCATCTCTACAAGTCTGACTGCGAATAAAGGTCAAACATATATTGTAATTTAAAAATTTTGGCATTTGGCTGACGCCCTCATCCGGAGTGACTTTATCTCATTTCATACAACGGAGCAGTTGTGGGTTAAGGGCCTAGCTCAAGGGGTCAGCAGTAGTGAGATTTGAACTCATGATCTTCCGATCACATGTCCAACATCTTAACCACTGAGCTATCACTTCCCAAAACATGCAAGTCAGATCAAAATCAAAAAAGCTTTCACAAATCCCATCACTCCAACACAATATCAAAACTTCCTCCAGCACGTGAATATTTGATCGTGGCTTTGTGTTATAGCCTACAGGAGCTTTATCATCTGTAAAGTGAAGCATGTGTGAGAGGGAAAAGCCTTTGAGGCCTCATTAAACCCCAGTGCAGGATGGGTAAAATGGACATCACATCTCAGAGTCTATGACTTGACATGTAACTCATTTCCCTGTGTACTGATTATCATTCTGGGGCTGTCGAAGGAAATGCTTACCGGCTGCATTGTAGACCAAGTGCACAGCTAAATGAGATGCAAATTGAGTCCAAATATGTCCGTGTGCCAGAGTGTTTGTGTTTAAGTATTCTGTTATGGTTTGATATGTGAATACTGTGACAACTAATTGTAGTTAATGATCTGAGACTAAATGCTAATGAGGATGATGTATCAGTCCTTGGTGTATTGGATCTCAGAGGATTCATTAATAGCTTTTAAAACTAATTTGGAAGTCTTGGAACTGGTTAGAATTAGCTTTCCACTTTTTATTTGAAAGTTAAGACTTTGTTAGTATTGCTGCTCACATGTCTAATAGATATTATTCATGGTGTACTTCAAAGCTCTATATTGGGTCCACTGCTAGTGGTATAATGATAACTTCCACAGAAAAATACATTCAGAAAAAAAAGTCAGGCATATTTCTAGCCACATATGTTTGTGTATTTTAGAAGTGGATGGATAAAAATGTTCTTTAAGACCTTGACATCATTCTGGCAAACCAGGAAGTGTGAACAATTACAGATCCCCAAAAATGAGGACCGAGACCATGAATCCCATGCCTAGTAAGACATTTAAATACAGTGTTTTTACAATTTTTCTCCATATTACATTGTTATTTCTTGTTCTCTTGGTTATTTTGCAGATTAACCTGCAGTGCGAGTGTGAAGTCGGGCCAATTTAGATTTTAATTGCCACAAATTTCTGCGTTTGCTCACCATTCAACCCATGTGAAGCAATCCCATTCTACAAAGCCTCATTATGCACAATCTAAGGGTTATATCTGGGTCAAAATCTCAAAAGTTTTCAGAAGAGGGAGGTAAGAATTTCACTATAAGCTGATTAAAGATTCCTCCAACTGTCCACCCTGCCAAGAAGTTTTCCCACTGGACGGAGAACAAGAACTCTGGCTATGGATCTTTCTTCCGGCACCAATTAAGAAGAACCATGCAATCAAACATCCTGTCAATTAGCTGAACTATTGGCTTTGGATTTTAAGATCATGGTTCTTGCCTCCATAACTTTTATTCATCTCCCCAAATAAATAAATAAATAAATAAAAATAGACTCTCTAATTAATTTGAACTTTTTAATATAACACGAATTCACAATCCATAAAAATAATCATCATCTGGTGCACTATTACTAAGCACACTCTAATCTAATCACAGCTACACTCTATCTAATCTAATCACTAATCATAGATACATAATTTTGCAAACACTCAGTACACGCAGAGCATGAGTTAAGTAATAAAACTCTCTGTGGTGCTGTTAGAGGAATATAATCAACAACAGGGTGGTTGTGATTAAGCAGAGTTAGTTCTATCTTCCAATAACAGCACATTCTGAAGTGTTTAATTCCGCATATACTAAATCACATTATTAGCAATTACATCTTTTATTCATTAAAGAATGACATGTACTTTTTTAAATCGAATTATAGTTACATTTAATGTTGCAAATCATCCATAAAATAAGTTAGTTACTGTTCTTACTCACAAGGATCAGCCATAACATTAAATCCACCTGGATAAAAGTGTGTAGGTTCCCCTTGTTCCACCGGAAAGTCCTCTGAAGGGTGCTGTGGTATCAGTCTCCAAAATGTTATCAGTAGATCCTGTAAGTCCTGTAAGTTGTGAGGTGGGGCCTCCATTCTAAAGATGCTCGATCAGATTGAGATCTGGGGAAATTGAACTTCAACTTCAATTGAAGTGAACGCCTTGAACTTTTTGTCATGTTCCTCAAATCATTCCTGACTAATTTTGCAGTGTGGCAGCAGGGTGCATTTTTCTGCTGAAAGAGCCCATTGCCATTAGGGAATACTGTTGATATGAAGGGTTGTACTCCCCACTGGCATCAGTGAGCCTTTGGCCCCCATGACCCTGTCACTAGTTAAATAGTTGTCCTTCCTTTACCAACTTTAGGTAGGTACTAACCACTGCATACTGGGACCACCCCATAAGACCTGCCGTTTTGAAGAGATGCTCTGACCCAGTCATCTAGCCATCACAATTTGGGTCTGGTCAACATCTTTAGATCCTTATGATTGTCCTTTTTTCCTGTTTCCAACACATATACTTTGAGATCTTACAGCTCACTTGCTGCCTAATATATCCCACCACTTGGAAGGTGTCATTGTAATGAGATATTCAATGGTATTCACTTCACCTGTCAGTTGTTTTATTGTTATGGCTGATTATTTTAGTCATTCCCTCACCAGCAATGTCTGTAGCAACAATTATAACTAAAATGAACTTAAGCATGTGCATAACCTGATTCTGAATACAAGGACCTTTCCCGGTGTAAATTTTGATCTTGACACTGGTTCTAGGCAGAGTTTAGTGAATGTAGCATGACATCATCCACACCGCATGTCATGAATGCTTCCCTTTTGCTCATTTTAATCACTGAACATATGATTTGCGCCTGTTTCTCATTATCACTCTCAGTGTGTCTAATTAGTCAAAGTATTCGAACTGTCTATGCTATCATAATTAAAAGTCCTCTTTATCCATCATGGGTACAACAAAACCAAAAGTTATCTTATTTGACATCAAATGGAGCTGTTGATATTAACAAATTAAGTCTGCTGGTGGACTGGAAGTTTCAATTATATGCAAATACACATCCACTTTCTTACACTTTCATACATCTTCTGATTTCTCATTATTTTCTCAGGAGAAATGATGGAGCAACAATAGAGCGCCACTCCATCATACACACCCAGACACACTTAAATTCATACCTAGGGGCAATGTTGCATGGCCAGTTCATCTACTACCATGTTTTTTAGAGGTGGAAGGAAACTGAAGAACCCATTGTATGCAGTGACCCACAAGTGAGCCCGGCTACTGGAAAGGCCTTGCACACCAATGCCGAGGTGGCCTTACATGGCATGGAAGGCAAAGATGACCCCCTGAATTACCTGCCATCAATCGAGAGAAGTGGCTGGTAAGCACCTCCTCCACCTTTGCATGGCATAAAAAACAATACCCTTCCTCCTCATGAAAAGACAAATCAATTCCCTGGGGGGGGAGTGATAAAAAAGAAAAAAGGTTTTCTTTTGGGTTTTTGGGGGGTTTTTTTTTTTCAACAAACGGCCCGGCCCGGGCCCCCCCCGCCCCCTTTTTTTTTCCTGGCCTGTAGCACATTTTTTTTCTGCATTGTAATATCATTTCAAAAGAAGCTCTTTATATTCTTGAGATCTGCTCTCTGTTCCACAGAATCATAGAAGCTGTTTTGGCTTTCTATAGCAGAATGAGGACTCATGATGTGAGCTCCATCATCTGGTAGAGAGCCAGATGCGTAAGACGGAGCAAGAGATACAGCAGCACTTGCTCTGGCCATACAACATCCCAGGAACTGATCCGTGAGGCTCTGCAATCCAACTCCTTTGACCGAGAAGAGAGCGAGCCGCAAGTGGAGCTGCCTGATTGTAAGGCGTTCGCAATGCGCACAGTCAGACCCCTCTAGGGCTGCCCTGGTGTGCGCCATCTCTAGACACTTTGCACAGAAATTGTGTCCCCCCGTGATGAAACAGAAGCAAGTGACACACTTCCTGAATTCTCTCTCACTCATACATTTCTTTTTTTTAAGGGACAGAAAAATAAAGAGATTTTTCTCTCTTTTTTATAAAAAAAAGATAGAGGATTAGATAGAGGAAAATCTAGAAAATAAGATAGACAAAATGAATAGGCTTTTCGCGACTGTTAACGAGTAAAGTAACTGTTAACGACTGACATGCAATCTCGCTGAAGATAATAAGGCTGACAGCGTGGTTCAAGGTGCCATTATTATCACGTAACACACTTAATTGCCATGCTACATGATCACGCCAGGCATGATGTTACACGAGCTTCAGATACCAGTCATGTGCAAGGGTGCTTCCTAAAGTCTTAAGCTCATGCAAGCCTTTGAAAGGGAACTCCACAAACAAAGTACCCCACACACTCTACCACCTTTTTGGAAATTTCTTCACAGTTTCCAATGGATAGGACCACTAAAACAGAAAAAAAAGCTTGGAAAGCTTGGAGGAAATCAAGTCATTCTACAAATGTTTCCCAGTGGAAATATGTGTGGTCCTTAAGATTAAATTAGTGGTGACTTAATTATTAGTAACATGCACAAAATAAGTCAATGTCAATATGATCGTAATATTTTCGTCAACTTCAGCAAACGAAGGAAGCAATACATAAGTAGTAAGGCACACCCACTAAGCCTTTCTCTCATCCTAACCTAATAACTTTTAATTCATACACAGTTACTTGGTAGGTTTTTTTTTTTGTTGTTGTTTTCTAGATGGACTAGTTCTACAAAACTAGTCAAAGAGAATGGAGTATTGCTAGGTTGCTGTTTTTTTTTTTAACTACAATTAAACTGCCAAATCAATCATTCCAAGTTATTATCCCCTGATGCAGAATTCTTCCCAAACTCAAAATATGTTGAAAATTAAAATATAGCATACTATGTAGTTGTTTAACATTATTTATTTATTTATTTTTGAAGAAAACTTCACTTCATCGTTGGGTGTATGAATCTGGCTTAAACTGCAGAAAGCTGAAGCACTTGGGATTCTCATCTCCACTCCACTGAAGAGCAGCTAATGCCTGATATACTGTATAGCCTTTTGTGAATTAGCATACAAATAAGTGCTGCGCTTATCAAGTCCTATTCAAAAGCAGAACCACAGCTGAACAAAAACT